GTGGACTGTCTGGCAGGGAGCTGGGAGGGAGCAAAAACGTGGACTGTCTGGCAGGGAGCTGGGAGGGAGCAAAAACGTGGACTGTCTGAGAGCCTCGAAGGACCGGATTAAGAAATACTGTCCTAAGCTACAGTTACAGCTTTAACTATAATATAAAGAAGATTAAAAAAGACAATCAGGTGCTAAAACGAACATGCTGTTATATCAACGTGTTAAACAACCTATGGAAGTATGGGATTAACATCCATTTGACTGTACAATCAAATACAGGTATACAATAAGAGTTCCAAAACATATTTCATAAATAGCCCCCTACTGACTGTGTCAATTTATCCTACAAATAATTGCAGACATTCAACACTGGGTGATGTCCACAGGACACAGAAGCTGTTAGTGCGACTTCACTACCCGGTGGAATTGTACAGTGCTACCTGATGCTGAGAATATATGACATAAACAAACTCAGTGGCCACTTTATTAGGGACACCTAGCTAATACTTTCATCTCCAAAACTGTATCAAGGGTATATGACTTGCATTGTTCAGTGACAACTCAGGAAGATCCAAGTCAGGCGGCTGTTTCTGAGAGGCTGGACCAACCATTTATGGCACCAATGATCACACCTCCCTCAAAACCTCTTAGATCAGGCGTCTTAGTCGTTCTAATGCTTAGTCAAACAGTAAATGTACCTCTTGACCCTATATTGTGTGTCTGCTGTATGTAATCAGCTGCAGCCACATGATTCATTGTTCGGAGGAGCAGGATATTTGCATTAGCCAGAAGGTGGAACCACATGAACTGGCCACTAAGTGTTTATGTACAGCTGGACCCAGAGAGAATTTTTTTTTTGTAATTGCACAATACTCTGCTGTTCATTACTCCATATTTTTTGCAGCTTGGTAGAATGTCTGACTCCTGCAATTCCAAGTATCTCCTGTAACTGAGGTGATTCTGGTTTAAAATACTTGCTGATTGAGTTGCATTCGGTTTAGTTAAAAAAAAAAAAAAGACTGTAGGCATAAAGACGTTCATATATGTGGTTTGGTCCTTACTTTGAATGACATACTGAAAGAGGTGTTATGGTTTGTTTTTTGTTTTTGGGTGACACGCAGTCTTTCGTTTCAAAACGCAACACTTTGTGCAAGGTGAACAAGCAGATAAATTAGTGAGAGCTTTCTTTTCGCAATGGAGTTCATGAGGCGAAGTGCGGTTCAAACCACAAAGCAGCCGGAAGTCTTGCTTCTGCTCCAAGCCGAAAGATTTTCCTTTCCGACGGAAAGTCAATTACCATGATACACGGCAGCTCTGATGGTTGGATGCCAGCTACAATCACCGCCATTGAAAACAGGCTTTAGAAGCAATATATTACATAGGTATGCTGGCTAGGCAGCTCACAGTCCCGTGTAGGGACTGCAAGCTACTCTCGTTCATTATAAGTTACCCCCTACGTTATCATACACTTTTCCTGAAACATCTTACACATAAAATGACACACACATGGAGAGGTATTGCCTTTCATAGGTACTCATTCACGTTCTTTAACCTGTAGGTTCACAGTGTGACATCTCAGACCATTATTCCATAATAAACAATGTTTTCAATTATATCTCGATTCCACCTGACTTCCATGTGAATATTCAGTGCTTATACTCCACAATCAACGACGCCTGCTGACGAATGCCTTCCAGCATGCAGAGGTCAGCTGACACGCTTGTTAACATCCCTGTCCGTCTGCTTACTTCTTCGTAAAACATTCTCCATTTCAGTTAAATTTTTGTTTAACTAAAAGCAAACTTTAACCTAACGTTACTGGGGGAAAAAAATGTAAAGTAATCCAAGATCTGCATCACCTGGACTTGGGAAGCTTGTTTAAACAGACTAACCCTGACAATGAATATTAACTTCAAAGACAAAATAATATAATTTCAAACATTTTATGATAAAAATTGTGTTGGGTGCTGAAATGGATCTTTTGTTTTCTTGTAAGAGAAAACTACAATCCTACTATTGCAGTATAAACTCTATAAAATGCTTAGGTATACAAACCCACCTACTCTATTTTTTATTTGACAAAAATGGTCCCTGTAATAAATTACTTATGAAAACTGACTTTTTTTCAGTTTGTCTCAAACTTTTTTTTTAATCTATAAACACTTTCTTTTTGATTTTACAAATGCTCATTAAATGGACTTTCCTACCATCTTCATACCTGTCATTGTAAGAAAAACAGAAAAAGAACACCTTGATAAAACAAAAGTGCAAATGAATTATAAATAAATAAATTCACAATTTTGTGCACAATAACATGTACATTTTGCCTTGGTATAAAGTGCCTATTTCCACAGTAGTAGACATGCTCTGTTCCTTCAGCATATTTTGACACGGACCATTCGCTCGCACTTCCTGTCTAAAGTATCCAATCACATTCAGTTACCCGCCCTTCTGCTTGTGTCCCTTTTTGACTAGCTTCAGATGACTAGTGTAGTCCACTAATCCTGCAGACATCAAGAATACGGTTGCGAGTCTAAGAAAAGAAAAAAAAAAACACACAACGAAAACATGACCGGGGCTACTTTCGTCGTCAAGCCCCAAACACCGCAAGCTGAAGATCATGCCTTGATGGATGTTTCGATGTGACCGCGTGCATTTGTGAAGTGACTGGCTGTATCCAAGTAACCTGGACTCACTGGTGACATCATGCCTCACGCATGTGTTTAAGCTGACATGCCGATAATCCCTGAACATTATAGTACAGTAATACTTCACACATCATCTCCACCCCCCGCGCCACTGCCCAGTACAGAATAAATCTCCCTCTCTCATTCAAAGGAAAGGAGTTTTCTTCACGCCTACCAAGTGAGTGGTAACTGGATTCTCCCAATGCACCACATTAGTGACATTTATCTTCAGACATGCTATGTCTGTCTACACCTTGCACGTATTGATAAAAAACACAATAATTTGAGGTTATTCATAACAGCTGGAAGACTTGCATGCGTTACACTGCAAAGTTGTCCGATAATTTACAAATGTCAGCGAGGAACAACAGCAATTGCTTTTAATACATTTGCTTCTCTAATGCCCCCATGTCCATCTGTTGACTTCCTAGTTTTACTCCTGTTTTACCTTACTGTCAGGAAGGAGACAGCCCGCTTTAATAGAAGCATCCCTGGATGCACGCCTACTTGATAATCTGGTTGAGTTTTGTTTGTTAGGCTGGTCCTGTATGGCCACTTCAAACAGGATCGTCCCAGTCTGGACCATTCCTACTTAGATCCTCCTCAGCAAGTTCCTCCTGGTGTGGCTGACGGAAGCACCACATCTCAACATCTCAGATGAGGGAATTTGCCCAGAATGAGACTGCCACAGATGAGGGAGGTCCATCTCTACTCTGAGGGACTTCATCTGACTTGGTTAGGCTGACCAGTATGAGATTGCTGGTAGGAGGGATGAAGGCCACTTGGGCAAAGGGCCTGGAAACTAAGGCGCTTCTTTGAAGAGATGCAGCTGTGTCCTGACGGGCTTTCTTCAGAATCAACGATCCTGCCACTCAGTAGAAGAAAAGACAAACCTTATAGATATGTACCCACATGGAGACAGACCCACGTCACGCACGTGCTTTCAGTCCATTTTCTTGGTTGCCGGCACTTGGACCAATGTCTGTGAAGCCAGCAGTGATATCCGCTGTCCTTGTCTATGTGATTTTTATTATTCATAAAAAGGAGAAATATTGAAACTGTTAAAGACTAAAAAAAAAAAACTCTACTTATCGCAAATTTGTTCATGTACAATTCCAAGAAGTCAGAGAATGTTTTTCTAACTTCAAAGTCAGGAGAATATATATATAGTGTGCAAAGGAGAAGTGATATGTCTGTATCTGTCTGTAAATATGTACTGTGTGTGACTGGGCAGGAATCATAAGTTCATCCTTAAGCTACAAAATGATACACAAGTCTCTCTTATGCAAATTGAAGATGGGAAATATTATTGGGATAAACAGGTTTGGGTTTGTCCAGCACAGGAAGGCGAGTTATAGGTCAGGATCTCTAGGCTGCAGAGGGCTAAGAGGGAAAGTTGGGGGACGGATGAAGGCCGAGACGCTGGGAGGGGGGTAGCTCATCTGGGGAGGGGCTGTGGCCAGGAGGGGGAAGTGGCCCCCGGAGAGCCGCGATGGGCCGGTGACGAGGACGGGGAGAGCATTCGGGGGCTCTGCTCGCCCGTCTGAAGGCGCCAGAGCAGCTCTTCGTTGTTGCGGCTCAGTCGCTTCTTCTCCTTGCTCTCCTTCTCCACGTGCTCCTGCAGGTTGGCGTTCTCCTCAGAGAGCTGCCTGCAGCCAAGACAGGGCAGCGGCCAAAACTCATCACTTTACACCCTTGTGCAAATTAATTGACACAACTTCAACACATCAACACTTCAATATATGACCTCTAGGTTTTTTAATAGCAGTTGGATGTGATTTGGCATGGAATCCAACAATTTTGAGAAGTCTTTAATGATCTTGGGGTACCGGTATCATACTTGAATTAATGTTTATCTTTTGTGGTACGGTCCATTCCATGGCGCTGCTTGCAGATTGACCTCTATAGGGTTTAAATCCAAAGAGTATCCAGGCCAGTCAAGCACCTTGATTTTCTTCTTGTTGATGAAATTCCTCACCCTTTTTGACTTACGGCACAGGGCTACATCATACTGAACGATGCCTGACCCATCAGGAAATGTAACAATGATGAAATTTCCTACATATGATGATGTAATCCCCAACATACTGAAAAGTGACTAATGAAGGCGTATTGTTGGCTTTCTGGAATTAAACTGAAAATCAGATTGCAGAAAAATTACCAATTGTTTTAATAAATTGGCACAATGGTATAAGATGGACAACAAAACTAAGTTGCATGTACTGTAAGTGCTTCCTTCACCTGTTGCTGTATCTATTACTCAAAAGTCTTCCGACTTCTCAGCCATGCTTGACCTTGCCACGGTTCCTCCAGACTCTGTGCCTACTTTGCATGCATTGTTTCACACATTCAAAAACCATTCCATCCTCCAACAGCTATATGAGATGGACCTGTCTGCCATCCCGGCTACTTATTTAGTGTGTGACTCAGGCCTCTCTGCGTGTGATCAGAAGGTTGTTGGTTCAAATCCCGCCCACAGAAAAATGTCTGTTGGGGTCTAGAGCAAGGCCCTTAACCCCCTGAAATGCTCCCCGGGTGCTAGATAAATGATGACTGCCACCCGCACGTGTGCGTCAGAAAGGGGAGCATGATGGGATATGTGAAAAGAAGTATTACAATATAACTGTACTCATCCAAAGGCAAATAAAGCATTATTTAATCCCAAGCTGGTAAACTGATTCATAAGAAAGCCACTTAGCCCCCATACTAACCATTCAGATTTTCTTTTGGCTGTAGTTCAGTGTTGAAGCAGAATGAGATACCTTACTCACATGCTAGCAAAATAACGCTAATGAGTTCCACGTTGAAGAGGCATTTTGCTGACCATGTGGGTGGATTTAAATAATGGGGTGAATGAGGTGCAGACAAAAGTGGGCACCTGGAGAGAGCCAGGTTGTTGTCGATTCTGGCCTTCAGGTCCTCATTCTGTTGCTGCAGCACCTGGACTCGCTCCTCCAGGAAGATGTTCTTTTGGGCCTGCTCAAGAAGCGAATGAACGTGGAGCGCAGCATTAAATTCTTTCTAAATAATCAGAATTCTTACAACTGTACCGCGGCAATTTGTGAACCATGGTACATTGCTTACTAAATAAAGCAGAACTGTTCGGCGTTTCAAAATAGCATTGAACAAAATACAAGCTTTCACCCGAATAAATAAATAAAATAAAATAAAATAAAATGAAATACAAAAAAAACAAACAAACAAATAAATATATAAACAAATAAATAAATAAATAAAGAACCCCAATAAAATCAATAACTTGATTACTGAGCTTGATGATTGGCTATGGACTGAATATATTAATTTCTCTGAGCTGATTTCTCCACCTTTCCTTTTGAGCCTACCAGTTTTTCCAGCTCACAGATCTTCTTCTCCTGCTCATGGATCTGCTGATTCTTCATCTCCAGCACATCCTTCAGGCTCTTCAGGTCCTCCTCAATATGTTGATAAGGGGCCAGGGCATCCTGTGCACAAAATTAAGGAGGAGAAAAATGTTTCTCTGACTGTGTCCCATCAGGTCCCAGATACTGTGGGAAGCCTCTAGCTATGATGGAATTAGGTCAGACGTGCACCTGGTTATTATTCTTAACAATAACTAAAACTGAAACTATACAAAAAAAATTCACAAACTGCAATGAAATAAGATACAAAAAATACAATGAAATGAAAATTATAAATATAGCTTCTGAAACTGATGGAAACAAAATAAAAACAATGTCAAACATTTTTTGTACTGTTTAGCTGAATTATAGATTTTTCTGTTTGTCTTTAATTGCCATAAATTATACCCAGAACATGTTTTGCCCATTTTGCGGGCATTAGTACATTAGTAGGCACTGTGCATTCCTGTAGGATTCGCCTAAGATCAGACACATAAAATAGCTCTACAGCTTTCAGTCTGTACCAAGAAATAAAATGACTAAAACTTAAACCGAAACTAAAATGTATAAAAACTAAACAGAAAAATATAGTTCAAGTAAAATTAACAGAAACAAATAAAATCAAACTGTAAATAAAAATTGAAAACAATATAAAAATAAACACTAAATTTAAAATGTCCAAACTATAAGAACACTGGAGTGGACAATGTCCAATTGCAGGAATTTCAACAAAATGTCTTGCACGTTGTTTTATATGCCGATACCCATCATCAAAGAAAGTCGGCATGAATTGTAAGAGTAAGGTCTGCTATTACCCTACCAATCACTAACTTAAATAGTTTAAACATGTGTTACTCTGCACTATATGTGCTAACATACGCGTTTAAAAGAGTGCATATGTGTGTTTGTCTGTGGGTATCTCTTCATACTCAGGAATTAAAAAACAGCTGGACAGCAGACACAGGACGGCCATATGAAAGAGGTAAAGGGGTGATTGTAGGATTATTTAAGGTTGGGGGCATAAAGGGGCCAAAATTCATAGAGAGGGACCACACTTATGATTAGCCAATGATATGTTTTGAATTGGGGAGTGACAGGGATGAAGCACTCTGGGGGCCAATCAGCTTTCAGCTGGGGCCAGTGATGCCCAGAAGAGGTGTGGCATGTGTGTGCAGCTCCCCGTACCACAATCTGCTCGTCGGTGCTCCTCCGAAGCGCTTCCTCGAAACGTTTGGCCCGATCTCGCAAGGTGCGGTTCTGGAATGTCAGTGTGTCCACCTGGTCCTGGTCAGAACACACAATGGCGTCCAGCCTCGTCAGGATCTCACATGCTGCACAGATGTGTGAAGAGGGCCACTGGAAAAATAGCCTCCTACCTGAAGCGAAAGCCTGATCTGCTCAAAGTTCTCCTCCATGGCTTTCCTTTGATGCTCGTGCGTCATCCTCAGCTCTGCCGCGACAGACAGGAGGGGCCCAAGCAGTGAGACGTGTCAGAAATGCAAACGTCGTGTACTTGAAAAATCACTGTCTGCTGCCCGTAGGTGTGGAACGATACAATCATCCTCATAAAGGCTGGGAATTAAGATGTTCCCTGGACAGCCTTAAACCTGTGTAGGATTTCTATGCCCAGTTGAGCAGGGGTAAATGTGTACTCTGTCGCCCCCATCTGGGGAAGGCTGTACCTACAGCTCACACACACACACCTCTCAGACCGGCCTCATTCTCTTCCCGTAGTGCTACCACGGCTGAGTTATGGCTGTTCTCCATGTCCTCCATGGCCACCTCGTGGTTCATGGTCATATCCTGAATCTGCAACAAGTTGAAACAGGCAATTCTGATGCCACTCACAGCTCTGCACCCCCCACCCCTTACATACTATGAGGTTTAACCTGCCCTCAACAGAAATGTGAGCAGATCTACATGTGGTCCATGTTACATGATTTTCATATCTTTAACCCGGTGTTTCTCAAACCCGGTCTTCAGCGACCTCCTAGACAGTCCACATTTTTGCTCCCTCTCAGCTCCCAACACACATGAACCAAACAATCAAGTATTCAGGAACAGCAAATACCTGGCAGAGATGTGTTTGGGGCTGGGAGGGAGCAAAAATGTGGACTGTCTGGGGGATCCCAAGGACTGGGTTGAGAAAAACAGCTTTAACTAAGCCAGTTAGATTTACTAAGATCAAAGGTGGTCTAGCACAAACATGTTTACCCAGTTATATAGTAGGATGTGAAGTTAAATAATTTATGTTAATGGTTATGAATGGTTCGTCACCCTGGTTATGTTTTGCTTATTTAAGTACGATGGCACCTAGTGGCAGTAGGTGTGTTCTGCACCTTGGCCAGCCTCCCTCACCCACCTTGTCCTGCTGGTGGTTCTGCAGCTCCTCCAGCTGAGCCTGATGCTGAGATCGCAAGTGTTCCTTCTCCTCCATGTGCTGTGCCCTTAGCCCCGCCTCCAGAGCACCAAGCTCCGCCTCCTGCTGTGTCTGCAGCACCTGTAGCTCACGCTCAAAGCTCCGCTCCAGGGTCTCCTTGTCCCTCTGAAGGCGCTCCCAGCGAGACGTGCTGGAGGCTGGGGGGGGGAAGGCAGGAACATGGCGGCGTCAGGGATATAGAGAGGTTGGGGGACAAGGAGTCAGGGGGTGTGTAGGGACCCCAAAGGAGAGGCTCTGACCTCACAGGGATTCTAGGGTGGGCCAGAGGCAGAGCCTCTGAGGAACATTCCCAAGGTGCAAACAATGTTCCTCATAGTTCATTTCTGTATCTTAAAAGGTACAAGTACCTACAGCTACAGGGTACAATTGTCAGAACCTTGAGGGTACAGCCACAGTGACAAGCAAAGGTACAAATTGATACTCTTTTTTTCTGAAAGTGTATTCAGGTTAACTGTCATCCGAATACCAAAAACATTCACACGTAGTCTCAGTTTATGGCCAATACATTTCAGAGAAGGTCACTGTATATTAAAATGGGCAGCCAGGTGAGTAAAATAGAGCAACCGAAAACACTGAACGCTGTGCAGAACCCCAGCCTCGCAGTGCTGTCAGCTCCAGTCACGGTCAGTCTGCAGAACCCCAGCCTTGCAGTGCTGTCAGCTCCAGTCACGGTCAGTCTGCAGAACCCCACACCCAGGCGTGACTCATCTGGAATCTCCGCTCACAAGGAGTGTCGAATAACCCCACGGGGGTGACGGATGACTCACCCACTTCATCTCTGATCCTCTCGAGTTCCAGGGACAGTTCTTTCTCCTTCTGGGTGGCCTGGTTACTCTGCAACATAGGGAGACGGCGTCAGGAGGCACTGGGGACACCCCCGTCACGCTCTCACGCAGCAAGCACATCCAATGACAGTCCCCCCCCCCCTCCTCCTCCTATGCCATCATTGGCATCCCAGTCCTGCTCACGTCTGGTGAGGAGTAGCATCCCTGATCATGTCATTACAGCCTCACTTCAGGAAATCCAGCTCCCCCCCAGCAACCCAGTCACAAAGACAGAGGGGTTGCAGCTAAATTTCTCCCCCTTTATCGACGACTCTGTCATTCTTCTGAAATCGTCCACATAAGCATCGCATCTCAGCGTCTCAGAATGCAGAAGTCACAGTAAGGACAGGTACCTTTCATTAGGAAATGAGCCACAGCGATGGACCGGCGAAGAGCAGAAAGGCAGAGCGTGACTCAGCGGGTGATGCAGTGACTTTAAGCTCACTGCGGGCGATGCAGTGACTTTTAGCTCACTGCGGAGCTGCTATGTCACAGTGACTTTATGAGCAGGCTGTTCCACTCCAGCACAGGGGCCTCCCCAGCCAAATACACCCTGGCTTAGATTGTAGGCACCTCAAATGTGAGCCCCAGGATCCAAAATTCCCCCCCCCCAAAGCTGGCTGGACTATCCGCAGAACCTACCTGGTCGCAGCGCGGGAGGAACAGCTCACATCATGGCCTTGGCAAACCGGTTCTGCTCTCCCCGGGCTGACGAGCCCCTTCCCACACCCATGCCGAAACACGCCCAGCCCCGACAGGATGGTGTAAAACGGGCCGGCCCGGTCTGAGCCGGCGAACGTGAACCCTCAGCGAAAACCTCAAACGCTGTCAGTCTCCGCTGGACATCATGCTACTTCACATGGCATTCCGACAGGTGGCAGGAGGACACGGACGCATCGGCATAACTGGGCCAGACGCAGGCGGCCAGTGCAGGAACAAAAGTGGCAGCGTCACCACTATGTCAGGAACACCCCCCTCCCACCCTCCCGGGCTTCTGCAGCATCCCTGTAAAGAGCTCCGAAATAATCAGGTTGAGTGCCTAGCAGACTGAGCACAAGAGCGAGAGAGAGAGGATGGGCGGGTTCGGGCCAGAACACCACACACACAAATACACACACACACACGCACACACACACACACACACACACACACACACACACACACACACACGATCATGCATACTCAAACAAAGAAAGTGTAAGCACATGGATTCACACACAATCGTGGATGGACAGGAAGACACACACACATAGATACAGACTGAGGATCACACACACACACACACACACACGAACCCTGTTGTGGTTGCAGAGCGTGTACCGAGTTTCGCATGCAGACCACCAGAGAGGAGCGGCTCCGCAGCACAGACCAGCACACAGCAGGAGTGCTACCGCAACCAGATGCTTTGGCCCACCTCACACGGCCGCACCCCGCATAACCCCCCCCCCCCCGCAACAAGCCTTTGTTCTGGACATTATCTGTGGGGTAAACCAGGCTTTACCGTGGCGTCCAAACAAGGCATGGAGAAGGTAGAGCCGGGGCAGCAACACTGACCCATGCTGGGGAAGATGAGCGAGGCCTGCGAGGTCTCGGTACTCTCAGAGACAGAGGGAGAGAGAGATGGAAAGAAGAGATGGAGAGAAGAAAAGGGGGGAGGGAGGGAGGAAAAAAAAAGAAAACAACCTCACCTCCAATGCAGGCTCAGCTAGGAGGACGGGCAGAAAGCATAATGACTGGCACTGGCTAGCCGCTCTCCTCTAGCACACGTCCCCCTTGTGGCCTGCCCCCAGAGCGCGCCCCACCCCTGTACACACTCACTGACGGCCTGCCCCCAGAGCGCGCCCCACCCCTGTACACACTCACTGACGGCCTGCCCCCAGAGCGCGCCCCACCCCTCTACACACTCACTGACGGCCTGCCCTGAAACACACACTCGCATCGAGCTCTGTCGGAGAATGTCATCCGGCTGCTGGGCCGAACCAGACAGGGAGAGGGGAGGCTGAGAGAGAGAGAGAGTGAGTGAGAGAGAGAGAGAGAGAGAGAGAGAGATGGAGGGAGGAGGAGAGCATCCAATCACTGTGGAGCGGTGTGCTACCAGAAAACAGTACCCCTCCGCCCCCGCCTCAATAGCGTCAGGATCATGTTCACATGTTGCGCTAAAGTACAGTTTGCTCATTTGGAAAAAAAAAAATCAATAAGACCTCTCTTGAGCTGTGATCTTTATCAGCTGAATAATAATTAGAGGACTGCACTTTTCTCCACTACAGTTTTAATCCAAAAACCCGTTTTACAATGTGCGCACCGAGATTATCGTACAAGCAGATTGTCTCTCTGAAGGCTGTGATCCTTTTTAATTGAAACCTGATACTTGACAGACACTGTTCATGGATTGCAGAGGTGTCCATGGAGCAAGCTGAGCAGCTCATGAAAGGCTAAGACCGTATCTTTGAGGGAAAGCAGACCCAAGACCTGCATCATCTAAGTTAGACGATGGTCCAGGCAGTTTCTGCCCTTCGCCTTCCCCGAGACCTATTTCCCATCAACGTCTCCTGGACTGTGCAGATGGAACACATTTATTCATAAGAAGTATCACTAGGAACTGGAGAAAGTTCTAGAAGAACAAAAGAAGAGATGGTTCAGTAAAATGGTCTATGATAATGTTCTCGGAGCTACAGAATTGCAGTGCTGCACTTCTAGAGAAAACACATGAATAAAGAATTCACAGTGTCACTCGCTAGCGGGAATCGTGTCTTTCACGCTGGGCTGTGTGACTGACGGACTGCAGCCAATAAAATGAAAATGACATCATCTAGCTTCTGCAGACAAAGAGTAAGCGATCTCTAGAAAATGGCCCGATCGCACCTGCAGAATAAGAGATGCTATTTTGAATCCGAACCACGACTTTGATCATGTAACTGAATGCTGATCCCATGGCTTTTGTAGGACATGGCTGCATTAAATAGACCATGTGATGACTTGGTCCATATGCCCTGAAAGATGGACGACATTTCAGTCTCTAAGAACGAGTCACAGAGATATCAGGCACCCACTCTGGGCCCTTGACCCACATGTTGGTAAATCACTCACTAGTTTAACTAACTTCCCACTGGTTACTTTACTTGTTCTCACTGGGTTAAACCACATGGGGACCGCAAGTGCATAGTAATAAGTTAAAATTTTCCCATCATTATTATCCAGATAGGCCTCCTATTACATAATACCGATTGTGCAGATAGGCCTCCTAATTACATTAAACTTGTTGCGCAGATAGGCCTCCTAATTACATTATACCTGTTGCACAGATATGCCTCTTAATTAACAACACTGTGATGGGGTGGTTTGTAGATGTCTGACATCATCCCGTGGTTCAGCAGAAACACAATAAGATGTTCACGTGTTATTTACATCTAGCAAAGCAGAGCACTCTATATGTCTCTACCTGACCCAGGAATCTGACCTTCCCAGCCCTGAAATTCCGACAGCCTTAGATCATGTGATGCCAAGGATGTAAAAATGCCCTGCCTACGAAAAAAACCTGAGCGTGTTTAATCCATTTAATGAAACAACCAGAAAATCACTTCATTCACTAGACAGTCTCGCCACATTACATTAAATTAAAGTGCGAGGGAACAAGAGGTTCCGTGTGTGTGTGTGTGTGTGTGTGTGTGTGTGTGTGTGTAAGCCTGGAGAGTTACCCCTGAGCAGAGATCACCCTAAACAGGGCTGTGTAGTGCGTTCTGACAAAAAAACACCTGCACAAGGTTGGTGTGTGAGGCCCAGCAAAACCGCATATATATTTCACAAGTCAGGAAAACCATCATTATAGCAAAAAGGCAAACAAAATGCTTGAACTTTTCAGATTCCAAAGTGCTCAGAGGCCTTCTGACAGCAACACGCACAGGACTTATCTAGGACTTTCAAACACTGCACAAACAGAGCAGGGGATTAAACAGTCACCACCCCCACCCCCATCCCCACCCTCCCAGAGCAAAGACAGAAACCAGCACGGTCGCATACCTGTAGCAGGCACTACTGATTTTACTGTGGTGTGTCATGCCTGCTTCTAAATGTGCGGCATGTGCCAGGCAGAGACACAAGACTTTTCATTTACAGGGGCAGAGAGGAAGAGAAAGTGTGAGGGGGGGGGAAGCCCCTACTGGCATAAAAGAGCAGTTATGTGACATCAGCCTGGAGAGGTGATCATGATAGGACGGTGCCCCCTGTCTGACCAATGGTGATGCCAGAATCATCGTGAAAGTGAAAAATCCTTTACAAACCAAGGTCAGTCCTACCCTTAGCCATTACACTCTACAATGAGTCATCCTGCTGCACTGGGACCACCAACTGTCTGAATGGACCAGAACCACCTAGGCACCTTCACAGAACCTTCATTTGTTCACTGCCATACTCACGGTGTAATAATACTTACTTCTGAGTCGTTACTAGTTAATTCCATGCAATACTTCCCCTGACATTCTCTGCACTGTTACTGTTTATTGTTATGCATTATTTAGTGTTGCTGACTATTAATGTCTAACTGACTTTTTACTCTGTAACTCTTTATATTCAGCTACTGTAAACGGGCAATTTCCTTGGGGATAAGTGTCTGTCCTTCTGATTGTCTGCCTGTTTGTCTCTCTGCCTGTCTGTCTGTCTTTCTGATTGTCTCTCTGCCTGTCTGTCTGTCTGTCTGTCTGTCTTTCTGCCAGTCTGCCTGTCTGCCTATCTGTCTGTCTGTCTTTCTGATTGTCTGTCTGTCTTTCTGCCTGTCTGTCTGTTTGCTTATCTGTCTATCAAAATAATCAATTATATTAACAAAAGCTTTTGTAGACATAAAAAAAAACCATTTGATAATATTGATAAAAAATACTGATGATAATAACCAATAGCAACCTTGTAACCAGAATCCAAAACAGCAGTTCCCAGTAATTTCTCTAGGGGGCCCCAGTTAACTGCACAAGCAAACCATAGCAACCAAACCGTCAGGGAAATTGAGGATGACAGCCCATGTAAGCAATACGCAACAAATCCTTCATAGCAGACGAATCGTGCATTGCTTATTGTTTTGGGAACCTGGCATGCTCTGAATCGAGCTGTCCTCTTAAGGATAATTACTTGGCCTTGTGGAAACCATGCTGGGAATGCAGTGAAACTAATCGCAGAAATGGCTGTACTTCTTTCTGTGGACAGAAGAGGGCGCCATCCCATTCAAAAATGAGCTAAAAAAAGCTTTGCAAGACTCTCACTTGCAAGCCAGGTGCAGCACACTGGAGCGGTTGCCCTGTCAAGCCCAGGTGTCACAGTGGGATTAGGGGATCTGAATGTACACTGTTCCGGGAGCTACTGGAAGGTTCTGTGAGTTATTAAGAGATTTTGCCCCTGTGCTATTCTGAAATATTCTGTCCTGGTAGATACTGCGACTGTCAGTTGTGATAATTTGTGTCCATACTGTTGATAGTCGTTATATGTTATAATACGGTATGTCAGTACTGCTGAGAGATATTGTATCTGCAATGATAAAAGTTATTGTGCTGTTGGGATATACTGTGCCCCTACTATTGTAATGTATTCTGTCTGTATCGTGATATATCGGTGCAGTTCTGATATTCTCCGTCTATACTGTTCTGATATTTCATGTATGTTCAGTTCTTATATTCTCTGCTGTGACTCACAATGGCTGTACGGTTGCTTTGTGTATGTATCAGTACTGCTCAATTAGTTCAGAGATAATCATTAGAGGAGGCCGGACCAAAAATATCTGATTGGTTGCTTCTGCCTCCTCTAGTTGCTTAGATCCACCTCCACCATAATCTGATTATTTTTCCCTCTGAACCAATCATTTTTCCTTCTGCCCTCAGAATATTTTTGTGTAAGTAACACTCCCATGAGCTACTGTTGTGATTCACCATGGCCGTACAGTTTTGTGCACGCCTGCACCACGGTTCAGCTGCTGGCGGAGCAGCTCTGATGCAGGGGTAGTGCTGCACCTTGAGGCAGAAGTGCTGGGTGCTGATGGCGAGGGCCTCCAGGCAGCTCGTGGCCTTTCTCAGCTCTGCCTGCAAGCGCAGCAGCCTCCGCGCCTGCTCCTGGCATTGCTCCCGCAGTTGCTTCACCGCCGCCGCCGCCTCCGCGTCCTGCCCTCCCACCGGCCCCGGCCTGGGCGGGTCACTGGCTACTGGGGCCCGTGCAGTCACTGGCTTCTGACGTGTATGTACTGATGGGAAAAGGGTCCAAGTAAGCAACAAAAAAAAAAATCATTTTGTGCTTGGGAAAGTAGCCAAGCCATGCAGCAGAACACGGGTTCCGAGGACGCCTGCCAGGGGTCCACTGAGCATGCCCAGTAAAGAGTCAGTCACCAGACACCTACCTGTTCGTTCCAGTGGAACAGAAAGCCGAGAGCTGGAGAGTACTCCCCTGCAAATCATCAGTGGCAAACAAAAGCAGCACTCCTACTCCCCCCAGGTGCTTGTGAAGCTCCTGCTCTTGTCTGGTGTCATAATAAATTAGCAAATCGCCGGAATACCGTGTCTTATTAACAATCTCGTTGTTGCCTAGCGCCCACCAAACTGAAGACTAGCGTCTCAGCAGCAGATAGATCTGGATCCCGATTTCTATGGTCGGTAAAGACTGCCGACAAGCAACAAATTGTCCCCCCCCGCCACCTAAGGGATCGACAAGTGCCCGGTTGTGCTATAGAGTCTAGGTGGGGGGACAGGGTGATCTATCGGGTTCATTACCATGAAAAGAGATGTGGGTGGGTGGCTGGGGGGACTCAGTGTGTTATTACACACTCCGAAATCGCCAGGCTGAAAAGGGCTGAAGCTCATCACCAATCATGATGAATTTTACCACCTCCTGTCAGTATAAATGATACCCTCAATTTGTCTACTCAGAGAGCATAGATGGGAGATAATATTTTAAAAGGCCATCATTAAGGTGCAATATAAAAAAGGATTTGCCCCCCCCCCCCAACACAAAGTGAAGCAGAAACACAGATCACGGTGTGACAATCTCATAGTCTGTGTCTAACCTTCTCCAACCTCATCTCCGCTACTCTTCACCCAATTTCCTCCACACCGATCTGCTCATCTGAAACAGTTTATCATTTTGCTAAAAGGCATAACAGCAAAGCACCTCCTGGGATTTGAAACAGTAACCTTTAGGGCATAAGATCATGCCCTTTAGCACACTACACTACACATATGCACTATGCTACACATACTGTAGCATACTATTCATGTCCAATTATAGCCCTTATAAGAGACATCTCCAAAAGTCTATGATGGGGCATTTTTGGTTGACATTAAATTAAAAAACATACAAAGCTGGATTTGGTTGTGGTGCTCATAGGAGCAGCCAGATCTGGAAACATGGACCTTCAACTCAACTCAACTCAACTCAACTCAACTCAACTCAACTCAACTCAACTCAACTCAACTCAACTCAACTCAACTCAACTCAACTCAACTCAACAATCAGCTCTTTAGTCTTATATTCAAATTGCTATCCAGGGCAGCCAGCAGCGGAGACAATAAAAGACTATGGCTTAAGGCACCAATGTTTGTTTGGCTCTCCATGACCAAGATGCACACATCAAGACCCTCAAGGCTTTAAGTAGATCAAGCAGGCTAATCCACAGCTTGGAGAAACATCTCTAGGGACCTGTTGGGCCAGTTCCATCAGGGTGTGGTCATCATGCTGCATCGTACAGACACACATTCTGGTATCATGATAGTGCCCGGATGACTGTGGTTTATGACTACTGCCCTGGAGGGTGGGAGTTTGGGCAGTCACCAGAGGATAAGGGCACACTCACCTGGAGACTGTGGCCTGGGTGATACCACAGCAAACCTCTTGGGTGAAGACACTGCTGGCCTGGGAGCTTCCTCTTCATTCTGGATTTCCTTCCTAGAAGCTATGGGAAACAAAACACTTGATGACAAAAGCAGCCAACCAGTCAAAGTATCACACCACCTCTCCCATCATGTACTGGGGCCAGTTCTCAAACTAGGGGTTCGGAATCCCTGCTGTATAGAACTAGACATCAGTGGGCCGGTTATTATCAGTAAGAACCAGAAACTCAGAATGGGCAGTGATAAAGCCAGAAGTGCCAGAAACGGAGAAAGTCTTTGGAAGAGTGAAGTTGGATTGTAGGGCTGAATGATTTGCGGAAAATATCTAATTGCGATTTTTCTGACAGATATTACAATTGCGTTTTTTTAAAAGTAAAACTTCAATATTCAGTACGTAATAGATTTTAAACATCTGACGCAGCCTTCGCACATGAGATACCATTGAAATATTAACTTGTCTATTTTCTAATGCAAGGATGAGAACTTAGATGTGGATTGCTTCCAACATCTGCACATATTTTCAGAAGCCTTGTTACAACTATGAATATCCTAAACTACGAACTACGAATGCATATCCTAAATTGCAGCCTTTGCGATTTGCTAATTGCGTTGTTTCAAATAGCGATTTTGATTTGAAATCCATAAATGGTTCAGCCCTTTTGGAATGGGTAGGCATTGGCTAGTTACGACTGTGCTGGCCTCAGTGTTCACCAAATTGGACGTCAACCCTAGCGTGGAAAGGCTAATGCCATGGCTACCCAGAGGCCCCATGATGAAGCCACGGGTCAATGGAGGTGCCTTGTCACGCGTCAGAACCGTTTCCTTCCGCGTGGCAGGCGGACAGTAGGCCATCACATCCGTCAGCCGCATGTGCTGCGATGAGCGCTGGATGATGGCTCCGCTGTCACCCTGGTTTAGGCACTTGTGCCTGATGACACTCAGAGATTCCCTCGTCATTCACACATGACTGATGTGCCAGATCAGAACTACATTAGGTGCTACATGCCACCTAATGCCACACTACCGTAGAGACTGAGTAGCAAACTGTGAGCTCATGTGATGGAAATGTGTGAATACAGGTATTATATATAAATCTACAAATGCAAAAAATAGTTCTGTATGTTAATGTAGGATTTCTCAACCCAGTCCTCAGAGAACCCCAGACAGTCCACATTTTTGCTCCCTCCCAGCTCCCAACATACCTGTAGCAGGTATTTGGTGTCATTGATTGCTTAGTTCAGGTGTGTTGGGAGCTGGGAGGGAGCAAAAATGTGGACTGTCTAGGGGTCTCTGACGACTGGGTTGAGATACAGTGAGTTCATGGAATCTTCTATCCTTCATTTGATCTGTCCATCCATCCATCCATCCATCCATCCATCCATCCCCGTATGTAGTATAGGTTATTGTTTCCAACTGTTGTACCTCTCCCATTTATGATCTTAATTGTTTTGACTCCCATTGATAAGCAGGGCGATAAGGACAAATGTGAAATAACAATAGTGAAGAAGATGCTTTAAAATGACCCCCTCCCCCTAGAAAGTGAGGCCCATATAGCCAAATTGGACTGGTGACTGGTGGCAATATAACCAGCAATACTCACCTACTGGGGAACTGCGAGATGCGGGGAGGAGGGAGCGGCGGGCAGGGATGGGGGTGCAGGGGGGCTGGGGGCTGCTCCGGCTGGAAGCCCTGGGAGCCTCATTAGGTGCAGGAGCAGCCTTGGGGGAGGGCTGAGGATCCTCATTGCCACAGCTGGAGCCTGTGCAGGGGGGGGTGGTTCGAAATGCTCATGTGCGCACACACAGATACATGCTAATCAGCATCCATAGCGGTCGCCACGGAAACATATGAAGCCATTCTCAGTGTCTGAGACGCAGGGAGCATCTGGGCACCAGGCATATTGACGAGACCAGCTGACTCCGGAGCTCCTGCCAAAATGGCAAGGGGCGTATAAAAGCTGAGAGCCGATTGGCCCTTGGAGTGCCCCCCCTCATGGATTCAAAACATATATCCCCCACCTTAAAAACCCTGAAATTGCTCCTGGTTACAGGAAAAGCCCAAGGATATGGTCCTCCTTAGGAATTCATATTATACTGTATGTATAAGGGAATTATTTCCCTCTTATTCTGTCCGTCCGTCCATCCATCCATCCATCTATCCATCCATCCTCCATAAATGAACCGCACATTGGTCCCACAGACATACATGCTCAGACACTAATGACGGAGAGTCACCAGTCCAGCAGGACCCCACATCTGTGGGGTGCAAGAGGAAATTCACAGACATGTGAACAATTGGCACAACATGCTCGTTTTGACTCTGCAAACCCAGAATGACAAGGCAACGCCACCATCTGCTGATCGCCAGCACGGTCCATAGTTGTATGTGAGAGCAAAAAAGAATCAAACATTTACTCAAACCATAAACTCTGACCTTCCATCAGAATTTTTACTTTTCTTATTATAATGGAGGCAGTTTTCTGTGAGATGACTCTCTCCTTGAGGCCATTCAGTGGGCTGGGCATAGTTGTGCTTGCTGGTTTAGATTAATAGTGAATAATTTACAAGCCTGCTAAATGTTCAGCCCCTGTTTAGGATAAGAGTTCTCTTTAACAGCAGACACTTGAGCTCCAGGTGTCATGCCCATCTCAGGTCAACCAGCAGGGGGCGCCAGCACTGCGGCTGCAAACATCCCACATTGGGAGCCATGAATACATATTCTCTGTTTATTGCATTGAACGGCTGCGGAACAGTCTTAGGTTGCACCGGTCGCAGGCGCTGTGGCGGCGGCATGCATTCTGGCAACAACACAGAGAGCCATGTTCTCTGTGAAGATGTCAGACAGACCCGATACAAAAACCGGGGAAGCTTTTATCCCAGTGACCCTGAATTATTCAAGCAGCCCTCAACAGCGAGATCGATGGAGTCAACATCACTGCAGCAAGGCAGAGATTCCCGGAATAGCAGGGGCTGAGTGGTTTGGACTCACTGAAACAACAGCACTGGCTAAACAAACGATTTTCAGCTGACCGGCTAAATAGACCAGCTGCAAGGCAGGAACCAGCCAATCTGCAAGGCAGGAAATAAATACGGTTACTGTCATGGAAGATCACAAAAATATGACATAATTTCTGTGTTAAATGCTGAACAATATTCTATTACTTATACATATATATAGCTTAGGTCAGAGAGGGAAGGACACATGCATTTATCAAGTTTAATCACTGGCAAAGTTTTTAGGTTGAACAAAAATATACATGTACAGCAAGCTGTTGGAACCTGCCCTGGACATCTCTAAGGCAAGCTAAAAGTTCAGAAGAAATTTGGTCTCCTTTCACAGTTCTCTAAGTTACAATTTGTTTTTGCAAGCTACTGCCTCTTGTTAGCTTGAAGCTAAATGAAATCTCTCTCCTCTTGGTTTTGTTGACTGTCCACCTTCCATAACAATTCAGCAGTTTTTCCTCAGCCTGTCTCCTCTCCAAAATTGCACTGACTGAGAAAGGTCCTCCCACGAACAATGGTGAGAAAAATCACTGTCATTAGGAAGAAGAGTTGTGTTTATCTAGGGGATCAAAGGAGGAGGTGGAGGGGTAAAAGCAGTAGGCATTCGTTATAGATCCTGAAGCCCTCAGTGTTATTGAGAAACTAACTGGCTTAAAAAAAAAATGAAAACTGTTCCTATTGGTCCACAAAAAAAGCCTCATTTCAGATAGCGGGAGGATTTTTGGAAACTAGGCTAGCTCTCCCATGACTGAATCTCTGCCGGAGCTCGGGTCGATTAATGCCGACATGTCAGGTCCTAGCACAGGTCACGCTCCAGCTGATATCTCTGTGCGTTTTGCTAACACCTGGAGGCCAGTATGGGGGGTTGGTGGAGGTGCCGCTTAGCATACGTACAGCAAATGTGGCCGGCGATGACAGCCGATGACAGGTAACAGGTGAGGTTCTGCTCCTCGGTCCCAAACGGACCCACCCCAGAATGTAGTACTGGGTATGAATGATTTAAATAACACTTTGCCATTTGGGGATTTGTGTCTGGGTCAGTGGAGCACATGGTGAATTGATTATAACCTGCACTGACTGCCCTTGGCATGTGTTTAGATAATGAGCGCTCCCATGGGGAAGACACAGAGGTGACCAGGCATCCCCAAGCTGTCAGAGCTGCGGCTGCTGGGTCCGCAGGAGCGTGAGCAGGAACGCTTTCCTGTAACCGGCCAAACGCCGGGAGAGTTTGGGAAGACTTTCAGAACATCCACTTGACTTTCACAGGCTGTTAACTACTGGAGCAGAGATGGTTCTGCTTATTAGCGGAACCTTCCAGAAGGCAGCAGCTTCTCTCAATAAAAAAAAAAAAACAGAAATAACAAAAAAGGTTGTTTATAAAGTGCTGCACTGCTGCAATGCAAATGTACTAATCTTATACCAATAATATCAGCAGTTCATTGTTAAAATGTCAATGCAGACAATAAGGTGATGTGTAACGTATGCAAGACTAAAGGGAGCACCTTTCACTTGGATCTTTAAACAAAGGTGCTTGACCTACTTTTATTTATTTATTTTTTGTGAAACTGCAGCTCTTTAAAAAGCAGAACAGCAAAACAGCGCATGCATTCTGGCAAGTTCTCTCTGCTTCTGGAGATGCACGAAATTGCTTCCTTTGAAATGCAAATGTTTAATTTTTATCCACCCCCCGCCCCGCACGCTCACCACTGTAATTATAGGGATAGTTTAATAAGATCCAATTTATGTGACTCGGCTCCAAGAGCCCAAGCATGCGGACGGGGTCAGGAAATGGGGACAAGGGTCTGTGTGCTGAAGGAGACGGTGGAACAGAAGATGGGGGGGATGATCTTCGCTGATGGGTAGCAGGAGGAAACAGGCACAAGAAGGCATGATGCTTATGGGCATGGGGGGAAATGGGACTCTGCACAGGGAGACAAGCAAAACAAATGTGATTATTAATGAGAGAGTGATGGCTGATGGGTAACAGTGGTGGCTCTGTCGTGAGAATAGAGTTTGCAGGTACCTGCATCATAGAGATTTCCCCCACATACTAAGGAGGTGGTGTGTGGCTTAGCAGGTTAGGACTCTGTGGCAGTGACTGGAAAGTTGAATGGTCAAATCCCAGAGCCTGTACTGCAGGTTGCTGGTTCGAATCTCATAATCTGTAGAATGATGCTGCTGTTGAGGCCCTTAATCCCTAGCGCCACAGTCATTGGATGCTGGCTGACTCTGTGCTGTGCAACTTTACTCTCACCTGCATGTGTGCCCCATGGACAGCAAGATGGATCTGCAAAAATAGAATTTTCCCCAGGGAATAAATACGTATCTGTATTCTATAGGTTTCCCCTTGTATTCTGAAGACACAAAGCTACACTGCTTGCCAATACAAACATCCTCCTCCTACACACAACAAATCCAAGTGCCTGTAACTGATTACATGCAGCCTGAGTAGAGGATCAAGAGGTTGGCTTGTCTGAGTAAGCATGGCTAATGATGCCTGATCCAAGCAATTTGGAGAGCGGTGTGACTGTTGCTGCTGTAAGCGGTGGGTCCATATTCTCAGAAACAGTCACCCTGCTAAGATCTTCACACACTACAGCTCCTGGAGTTTATAAAGCACATTGCAAGGAATGAAAAATATCTAGCCAGTCTCTCCTTTGATTACAGCTTCAGACATGGTTTGGGATGTTGTGAGTAAAGCTAAAGTGCAACACACATGTCTTCCATAGAGCATGAGCATCATGCGAATATGGGCACAGTGGCTAGATTTTCATCATGGATGTCCAACTTGGCCAGGAGCAGACAGGCCGAGACATATACAGATATATTATTTATGAGAAAAAGAGCAAGAGCTCGAGTAGCTCAGCATTCCGTAGGCTGAGTCTGAGTCTGAGTCTGAGTCATGGAATCTGAGCAACTGTTTTCATGGAGGAGGGTGGAGGAAGAAACTTACTGCATCACAGTGTAGGGGTGGAGCTGCCAGAGGAAAAGAAAAGGAGGAAGGAAAGCTGACAGAGGGCCCTTAACTGCTTTACTGTACGGTCATATCACACAAAATATACAGCCCTATGAATAAGTATCCAAACTAAATACGAGACATTTTTAGTTTTTTGATTGCATTCACAGATCTTTGTGGGGACCCAAAAAATTTGGACATTTGATCCCCACAAAGTAATATAAGCCTATTCCACACACACAGACACACACACACACACGATTAAATGCTTAAAATGGGCAACATTCGCGGATAACGGCGCTGATTATACAGGAACTCGGTGGGGAATCTTTTCCAATTGCGCAATTAACACCTTCCAGCATGCTCAGTTCAGGCGAGACCATCTGCTTCAAGGTAGTAGGTCAGCTTGGGATGGAGATGAAGAAAAAAAAATGTATCTGCAGCTTCTGTCACTGACATCCCTGGAGAGCAGCTGCTGTATCTCAGCTTTGAGCTCCTCTCTTAATGCGATCAGGCTAAGAAACGACACGATAAAGAGAAACGCAGAAGGAGGAGTGACATGCTTTCTTAATTTGTGCATCTGCCCTTATTTAAATAAGGGTGGGATAACAAGAAAACGACTGATTCATGCATCTGGGGATCAGCGCTTCCCCATCGCAGGAGATGTGAACCCAAATACACCCTGTTTGGAGGTGCTCTGCATGCCTTCTCTTCTGATGCAGTGCCTAGCCATCTCCCCGCCTGGCCCTGATAACAATGATAACCAAAGTCATGCACTTCCTGCTGACTGGATAATCTTTAGGTTGTTGTATTGCAGGAAGAGAAGCAGCTCCTGTTCACATACTGATTACTCTTGTATTGGGACATTCACTGGAAGCTCAGCCTAGCTGCACTTAAGTGCAGTAAGCCCCAAGCTCTTGCAGCTGAACAAGTAGAGTATAGTGCTAACAACGCAAAGGTTCTGGGTTCCAATCCCAGAGTGCGCACACAAAATTTGCAACCCTTTCCTCTTCTGTAAAATGCTTTGGATAAATGAGTTAAAGTGTGAGTTGCATGCA